CAACTTAGATGAGGGAATAGAAGGGGAACTTACCAAATTTGCAGATGTTACTAAGCTGGCAGGAATAGCTAACACCCAAGGAGATAGGCTCAAGATCCAGATGGATCTTGACAGACTAGAACACTGGGCCATATCTAACAAAATGAAATTCAATGTAGAGAAAAGTAAAGTCCTACACTTAGGCAAGAAAAACCAAAAGTACACATATAGACTGGGTGAAACCAGGCTCAACTGTGAGAGGGATCTTGGAGTCTTAGTGGACAACCAGCTAAATATGAGCCAGCAGTGTGCAGCTGCCGCCAAAAAAGCTAATGCAATCCTAAGTTGTATTAACAGAGGGATACAATCAAGATCAAGGGAAGTACTAATACCACTCTATAAAGGCTTAGTAAGACCACACCTAAGAGTACTGCATTCAGTTTTGTTCACCACATTATAAAAAAGATGTTGAGACTCTAGAAAAGGTTCAGAGAAGAGCAACCAGGGCCTGGAGGCTAAAACATACAATGAACATCTGCAGGAACTGGGCTTGGCTAGTCTAGTAAAGAGAAGGACCAGGGGAGACATGATAGCAGTCTTCCAATATTTGAGGGGCTGCCAGAGAGAGGAAGGGGTCAGGCTGTTTTCTAAAGCACCGGACAAGGAATAATGGATGGAAACTGAACAAGGAGAGATTTAACCTGGAAATAAGGAGAAACTTTCTGACAGTGAGAACAATCAACCAATGGAACAGCTTGCCCTCAGAAGTTGTGGGAGCACCATCAGTTGAGACTTTCAAGAAGAGATTGGACTGCCATTTGTCAGAAATGGTGTAGGGTCTCCCGCTTGGGTGGGGGGTTGGCCTAGATGACCTACAAGGTGCCTTTCAACTTTGATTATCTGTTTGTCTGTTTGATCTATTTTGATCTGTTTGCCATAAAACTGTTCCTAGGTCTGAGTTGGCAGGCTTGAGGTCTGTTCAGAGCAGGGGTCGCCAACCTTTTGGACCTCAGAGACCACCAAACTCATAATTTTAAATCCCGCGGATCAGAGACCCTGGGAAAATCACCCAAAAAGTCTGCAGGAAAATTCCCCACCCCATTTTCCTACCAATTGATCATTCTTTATTTGGGATCACAGGATACCGTCTCCAGCTCCGTTCTCGGGGAGAGAGAGAGAGCGAGAGAGACTTTTGGCTTCATGCAAGGAAAGCAGCAGAAGCAGCAGAAATATTTCTTTCTCTCCCCCAAATTTTGCCAGAAATGAGACTTGTTGCACTGGCGCAGCCTCGTGGAGCAGGATGCTTTGCAGGGTCTCACACATTCATTTCTGGCAGAGTTTGGGGAGAGAAAGAAAGACTTTTGCTGCTTTCCTTGCGTGTAGCCAAAAGCAGAAGAAAGAAGCGGAAAGAAGCAGCCTGGTGGCCAGGCGTGGGGTGAGTGGGACAAGTTCCCCTCTCCATCCTTTCCCCCCTCCCCTCACTACCTCATGTTCACAATGCAAGCAACGCAAACCTTGTGTTCCCACAGGCCATGTGGGCAGCGCAGCCTTGTGTTCCCGCACAGCCTGGATTAATTGCTTTGGGGAGTGACATTTCTCTGCGGACCACCAAAGTTTTCTTGCAGACCACCAGTGATCCCCGGCCCACTAGTTCAGAGGATGTTAAGGCTTGTTCTCTTGCTTACTTCTCACAACTAAGGGAAATGAAATCTAAATACAGTGAGTGGTGTGTATATTTTACATACTTGCTTTCTTATATATCATATATCATATATAACATACCTGCATTATAGGGTGCTTGCCTGAAAAATAAGGCAATATTTCTGCAGCAGGCATAAGAGAGATTAATACTAGATTCACACATTACGGCTGAAAAGAGATTGAGCAGTTTGTGATGTGGTAGGAACCCAATTTACTATAATTACACAAGCTGCGATCTATAATAAGATGTATCTGCGTGGCCATGGTATGCTATGTTATGATATCTTATAAATCGTTTTGTTAATCCATATTAAAGATTTAGTGCCTTGCACGAACCCAGCAATTTTAGTTTCAAGTACAAAGCCTGAATGGCATAAAGGGGGTAGTTTGTCTCATATAGGCATCTTATTTTTAAGAATCCAATCAATGGCTAGTCTTTTCTTCCTACAATGGGAGTAGAGATTCCTTATTCACTTGCAGAACATCCTCCATAAGATCCACCACCACCAATCTACATATGTTCAGCTTTTAAATGCAGGTAACCTTATATTTATTCAAATAGAGCCATGAAGACATAGGATTGAAAAGATACTTATTTTGCTGTTTTGGTTAGTTGGCAGGCGGTTAATATGCAATAAGCTTGCTTATTTATTTTGCTTGTATGCTGTCTATTCCCACAGAGTATAGGTAGCTAGCAACATAAATGTATAAAAATAGATTCAGAATATCCTAATAGCTGTAAAGGTAAAAAAGAAAATCAAAGACATTTTTTTTCACCAATACAAATGCCATGCACTGGCAGTCCCACTTTTAAATCATAGGACACTTCCCATGCAAAGCAGAGCAGATGGGTCTTCAAAATAATCCTAAAGACTAGAGGGAAGAGGTGAATGAATTTTAACTAGAAGGGAGTTCCAAAGCATGGGGGTGACTACAGGTAGTCCTCAATTTACAAACACAAATTTTTTGTTGCTGCATAGAATTATTAAGTGAGTTTCCCCCCATTTTACGACCTTTCTTGCCATAGTTGTTAAGTGAATCAATATCGTTGTTGAGTCAGTAACACAGTTAAGTGAATTTGGCCTCCGTTGACTTTGTTTGTCAGAGGTTTGCAAAGAGTATTCACATAATCCCAGGATATTGCTACTGTAAATACATACCAGTTGCCAAGCATCCAAGTTTTGATCACATAACCATGGCAACGCTGCAAGGGTCAAGCAAAAAATGGTCAAAAGTCACTTTTTTCAGTGCCGTTGTAGCTTCGAATGGTCACTAAATGAATGTTTGTAAATGAAGGATTACCTGTATTGAGAACACAGACTTCCATGTCCTTGTCAGGAATGCCTGGAATGGATCTGTTTAATGACCGAATACATAAATAGGTTTCTCTGTGAGAATTCTCTCTTTTACTTGACAAATGCCAGCATTCAAGCAGTTTCTAACAGGGGGGCATTTTTGTGTAGAGCTAGCACTGCAGGGTTAATAGTGTTTACTTTTGCTACTAACTTTCTCTATATGCATGAGACACTAGAAAAACATTCCTCAGACTATTGAGAAGAATAGCAATAGGAGTGGTAGCGCAGCCCCCACCTTACTATTGCGAATGTCTGCATGGTAAACATTTTGATGGTTACTTATCTGGGGCAATGAAGAGAAGCCTTGAAAGACCAAGTTGATTCCCCATTTGTTATGTCTTCATTATTTTATAAACATATGAGTTTGTTGAATAGAAGATAAATCATTGTCATTTTGTGTATTACCTGATAAAATCACCATAAGTACGTTAGATTTAATGTGCTGTAAAGTACACAGAGCCATATAACCATTGGTAACTGTTTGCTTGCTATTAATAATTAGCAGCCTTCATACTGGACTGTCAGCGTGAAGTCGGTATTCAGCACAATAGAAACTTAACTACACAAAGCTGATCTGAATTGCATTACGCTAGTAGCAAAGACAAAAAGACTTTCATTTCAATCCACAACAACATAATGTAAAATAGAGAAAGCTATTAAACTGGACAACATTATACCAATTAATCATTTTTTTAAAAGAAGTACTTTTATTCCTCAACAACTGTTTACTAATATAAAAAAAATCCTTGAAAAATGAGCAATTATAGGTCCTTTTCGAATTTGGAGATTATCTGTACTCTTTTCAGTCAAGTGTCATGTGTACAAATGAGACTGAGATAGTAATTGATCATTCTTGTGGATAATATATGGCAGGAATAGGATGGGTGCTATGCATCCATCCTTGCTGCTCTTGATCTGTTGGTGGCTTTCAGTATGATTGATTGTGATATTTTTCTGGATCAGTTCAAAAAGTTATAAGTGGGGGAGCCAAAGTAACTCAACCGTTCTCTTCGTTCTCCCAGGGTCAGTTCCACTTGGTGTTGATGGGGGCCAGTGTAGAGTTTCTCAGCACTCAGTGCTCTCCCCTTCCTGTTTCACATCTACATGAAACCAATGGGTGAGGTCATCTGTCAGTAAGGGCTGAAGCATTCTTAATACTGTATGCTGATATTAGTTATAGATCTCTGTCCAAACCAAGTGATACTGTTGAGATTTTTTTCTTGGTGTCTGGAAGCCGTATGGGGCTGGATGAAGAGGAACAGATTTGAACTCAACATTAGCACAAGTGGTTGGAAAGAGTTGGTTTTGACCTTTAAGCTCTTCCTTATCAATATGTTATTGTCTTGAATCCTACCTGTGTAATTGTTTTCTTGTTTCAAGCCTAATAACAGTGTTAAGATGAACTGCCAAAGATCCAATCTGTCCACTAGCATGGAAAGAACAATAAATTATCTTAACCAATGTGAATTATTTGACTATTAGAAGATCAGATTCAGTTGTATGTCAAAGCATACGTCCTGTGCCAACTTTCTAGGAAAGACTTTCTACAATCATATAACAACAATTGCTACCATAGTTAGACTTAACTCAGTAGCAGAGCATAGTTGGTCATGGCTAAACTAGATCAAGGTTTGATATATTATAATGATGGGAAGTCGTCAGGAAATCTCAGGACTGCATTTCAGATTGAACTGTTGGAAAAAAAATATTCCAAGAAGACAATGGGAAAACAACTTCCACATTATTGCCAAGAAAAATACATAGATACACCCATAAAACCTAGCTTTTTCACACCAGCTAGTTAGCATATATGCAACTTTTCCATCAGAAGTAGGAAGTTTAGAGAGGCTTCCAAAATAATTGTGGCTTTTATAACTAAAAATGAACTTGAAAGTTAACTGCTTGATTTGCATGGAAACAGATTGAATGTTAATATAACATATTATTTATTTGCCTTTTTTTCAGAATGGTGTTTCAAAACTTTGGGATTTCATGAGGGCACATGACAGGTAAATTTCAAAGAATGTGACTGGTAGGCAACATGCTGCTGTATTTTTTTTAAAATAATTCATTCTCTCATTCTCATTTTCTGTTTCACATAATAATGTTTTTCATTTTGAGACTTCATACATATTTGTGTTGCAAGTAAACCTATATTATTGTATGTACCATATGTAAAGTGATTAAACAAAGGAGCAGATTATGAATTTGTTTCTACTTGTGGGTATAATCACTTGAGAGTATGATTTGGTGGCCATGTTTTTACACCCTGGCAATAGATTGTGGAATGCTATAAGGCACTTCAATAGCCCCAATGTTACTTACACCTGTATAAAATCATTGGGGAAGGTCCTCAGGAATTTTAAAGTTAAGTGTACTTTTCCATATCATTTAATCATAATATACATATTTTGGACCAGTGAATGAATACTGTAGGGATGTCAAACTTGATTTCATTGAGGCCCACATCAGGGTTGTGTTTGTCCTCAGGGGGCCAGGATGGGCGTGGCCAGGGTGGGTGTGGCCAGCTCAATGTCACTCATGTTGGGAGCGCCTGTAGTGGCCCAAGTGCTCTGCCACGAAAGCAGGCTGCTGAGCTCTGTTTTTGGCTGCGACAGCCTCCTACAACCCTCTGCCCGCAAAAACTGAACTCAGGAGGGCCACCAGCATCCCTTGCATGCTCTATTTTTGGCTGCAATTTCCTCCTGCAACCCTCTGCCAGTGAAAACGTAGCTCTGGAGAGCCCTCCCGAGCTCCGTTTTCACTGGTAGAGGCACTGTGGGCCAATCCTTTGCTGTTTCCAGGGTGGCCCCATGGCCAGATCTAAGCACCAGAGGTGGTATTCAGCAGGTTCTGACCAGTTTTAGAGAACCAATAATGGAAATTTTGAATAGTTCAGAGAACCGGCAAATACAACCTCTGACTGGAGTTTTTACAGTATTCTTCCCTTGCAATGCCCACCAAGCCACCCCCACAGAACTGGTAGTAAAAAAATTTGAATCCCACCACTGCTAAGTACGCAGTGGGCCGGATCCAGCCACTGGAGCTTGAGTTTGACCCCCTGCTGTACAGTGATGTGGTGGATAAGGTCCCACAAATTGCAACTGAATCTTGAGAAACGAAGCTGATAGATGGAATTACATGCACTAAATGGGATTATACCTCCTCAATGACTTCAGTGAATAGTCCCTACAGTATTACCAGCTTCAGATGGATTATTATGCTTTCATGAATGGGAACAAACTAGAGAGATTCATGTACTCATAATCTCAAATTGAAATAACTGCAGTACTACCTGTGAGAGACTGCTTATGAGGGACTATCTTGATGTTTGGTCCTGAAACTGCATCTTGTGCAAAATTTTTATGATGTTTGTTTTAAGTATATGCTAATTAATATAACAGCAGGGATGTTCATGTTGCTATTGTTTTAGATCTGATGGAGTGATTATATAATATCATTTATTGAGACTCCAGAAGTGTTCATTGGAGCAGCACCTGTCCTCTGGAATGAAGTTCGCCCTGAGATTGATTAATTAAATAATTTATATATTTATTTATAAAATAAATTATTTATTGGCCACCCATCTTACCTCAGAGTAACTCTGGTCAGTTTACAATCATACAAAAATAAAAACATAAGCTCTCATGTTGCTGCCATTTCACAGGGCTTTGAAGACCTGGCTTTTGACCGAGGCTTCTGACCAGGATGGGGATAGCTCCTAAGACACGCTGCTGATAGGTTGCAAATGCTAAGAAGAGTACATTTTTACTGATTTATGTTGATTTGTTTTTATAGCATGGGCCTTTTAGTCTATAGGTTCTTGTCATTTTACAATTTTTTATAATATACTGTTTTAATTTCTATTTTTATGGTACCTATACTTTGCTCAGTTATATATGTACATATGATAAATGTATTTGCTACTGCAGCTGCAAATATATATTTTATTTTATTTAGGTTTCATAATGTTGCTGTTGTTATTGATACAAGAATTAAGAAGGAGTTTCGTTTTTGCAAAAACAAATAGGAATACACATCTAGCAAAGAACTTTTTCTTCATCTTATTTCTATAAGGCGGATGGATTGGCAAACTTCTTGTTTGAATGAGATAGGGTGATAGTCTATATTAACTGCTATTTGGGAAATAATTTATGTAAAAAAGTGGTATATTTTTTAAAAATTAAGAAGTTAAAATCCCTATTGGAAACAACAGAAGCAATGTTTTTTAATTATTCATTTAGCCATGGGGTTGGGGGGGAAAGTGAGCATATTTGTCCCAAGCTCCCAATTTTTTTTATGCCTAGTATATTCAAAACTAATTTTCCAATTTTCTCCTATCAGAACACAGAAAACATGAGGCATTCAAATTTTATTGGAACATAGATAATTTAGAATGTTCTGGCAGAATGTTTAGAGTAGAGCTAAAAACAGAAAAATACTCCTTAGGGTACATAAAGCAAAAGCTAGATCCAGACTTAAATAGTTGCTTACCCTATTCATTTGCTTAATTCTTCGGTCCAGCCATTCAGAAAAATAAAGAATCAGAATAGCAGCCTAGGAACTCTCTACTAAACCAGCTTGTCAAGGCATTATGTCAAGATAAATGTAATTGGCTCTTAATTATGCTACCCTCATTGCCTCCACAGGAAGAGAGTTCTGAAGCAAGGAAAACCAGTTCAAAAACATCACTTAAGAAAGAAAAAGGCATTTTCTAGGAGGATTATAACAAATCATTTAGTTGCTGAAAATGCAGTACCTCACAATATTTTACTATTTTGGGATATAACCATTTTGTAGATTTGTCTCTTCAGTAAATAACATTATTTCTGTGCTGCTATAATGTTTTGTGGGCTAGATTGATGGTTTTGGTACCATTATAATTTTTAAAAAGACTTTTCCACAGAATATTTTTAGGATAGTTGTGAACATGATTGCATAAGATGCACATGTCATGCCAGTCATCTCTGGTCACCTAGCATTTGTTGCCTTCCCATGTACAGCAGCTGTCATACTGAAACTTTTTTAGTGACTACAGAACACAGTATTTCAATGAACCATTTTACTCCATGCTGCAGAATCCCTATTATTCTAGAAATAGGAAGTGTTTCTTTATCCCCAGTGCCTACTCCAAAATATGTCATCAGCAATTGTTCCTGCTAGATTATAATTTTATTTCAGGACAAAACCCACTATAATATTTCCTGCTTTGTAAGCCTCTTATATTATTTTCTTTCATTATACTGGACTTTTTTCCCCCTCTGAGATTCAGCTAATTGGGCTCATTCATCTTAGCCTTAAAATACAAAGCTAAGAAATTAAGCCCAGAATCACCCAATTATACATAAACAAACTGAATATAGGGACAGTGGAACTCTCTTTTCAGGAATCTCTCTTCTTTATCCTGCTTGCATTCAGTTAATGTTTTATTATAATATAATGGCTGTTTAGTTAAAAGGCTTGCTTCATCCATATAGGCCATCTCTTGAAAGTGTTTCTCTTTTCTCTGCTATTGTAATAATGTGGTATGCAGTCAATTTCTCTGTTCTTGCTGCACAGAACATTCATTTTGTAGACACTCCCAAATTCAAGATTAAAGATTCAGTATATCCTTTGTTCTTATGTTCAGCAAGGCATAGTACCACATCCATGAAGTTGGAGAAGAAGCATTTTTGAATGCTGCAGTAGGTGGTGGAACAGAACCTCCATTAAAATAATGCTCCATTAAAAGAAGGCATGGCCAGGTATTGGAGCAGCTTGCTAGGGAAAGGGTGTATATTATTATGGCATATAGGATAACTTTCCTATATTCTGTGGAACTATGACTCAGATCTCTTAGCAAGTGAAAGTTACATAGTATTGGCAACTCTGGTTCATTCAAAAGATTATAGATCAGGGATGTCAAACTGATCCGGCGTGCAATGTGGTTAGATTTTGCCTGCGAGTCTTCCTTGGAAACCGCAAAGGACCGGTGCCTCAGCCCTGGCCCAGGTCAGCCAGGCATTGATATAAAACTTGGTTTCAGCCATCTGGGCCGGAATGCAGTCAGCCTTAGATCTGTGGGACTGCCCTGGAATCAGTGAGGAGCTGCTGTCACCCCTGGGCGCGGGCTGGAAACAATGGATCCCCCTAGCCCCACCCAGACCACCACAGCCCCCCACATGCAAGCAACATCAAGCTGGCCACAACAACCCAGCCACCACCATCCAGTCAGCTGCGACCATCCAGCCATGCCCACTCGGCCCCCAAGGTCAGCCGCAACCCTAATGTGGCCCTCAATATAATCGAATTTGACATCCCTGTTATAGATTGTTGAAAAGGATTTATTTAGTGGCTGTTTCTGTTTTTGTGGTCTCAATTGTGACATGTATGTTAAATTCTGGATATATGTTAAAAGAAAGCTTCCTATGATACATTATGATTACATTATTTTGAATAAAACCATACCATTCTAAATTTCAATAACCAATAACAGCATTGAAATTGTACTTACAGTCAACTGCAGATCCATATATCTGTACAAGCTAGTAAACATTATTTAGAATAAGGCAAATTATGCTAATTTTGCATAAATACAATTGTACCTTAAAGAGGACTAAAGAAGTCTATTACAGTTTTATAAGTATTCTGTTCATTGAAAATTGTAGTGTTTGATTAGCCACATGTGCTGGTCATATCACTCCATGATATTCTCAAGGCTCTTCTTTAATACCAAAGGCAAAAGTGTCAGTACTCTTTGTTATCCTGCTTTCACTTTCATAGAGTATCATGGGGAAAAATCATTGCCTATGTGATTGTAAAATTTGTAGGAATAGACATGTCACAAAATCCGAATATCTTTTTCAAAACTGCTATACCAAGTCCTAGTTTGCGATCCTGAAAGGCAGAAGCCATCCATCACTTCAGTATTTTCACTGTGAATTCCAAGATTGATTGCTGTTGGCATTTGGTCTTCTTAATATTTAGTTGCATTCCCATTTCTTACCATGGTCTTTGACTTTCATTATTA